GATTGTTTGCTTGGCTAATCTTTATAACCTATTCCCTCAAAGTAATTTCATAGTTAACTGTAAACAGGAAGAACTTTAAAAACAACTATTGATAGTTCGCAACAATTTACATTATACCTAAAATTTTGCAATTGTGTTGGCTTTACTTACCAACTTATTTTTAAATTCGAGGATGCCCGACTAGTTTTGAAATCAATAGGAGCCCTGCTTCATGAGCGCGGTTCGTGGTTATGTCGCGAGCAGTACTGAATAAAGTTGAAGTAATTACATTACAGTATGACTTAAGATAGTGAGTTGCCGTGTGCTCAGGGCCGTGCCTGACGGGCGTTCATTGCGTGCAGCACGCAGGTTCGTCGTTACAAGTTGTTTACTGGGCCGATTTCAGTTAACCAAAAACTAATTTTTTTCCCGGTTTGACATATATAATAAACATTAAAAATTAAAGTAGTTTTTTTTAATGTTATCCTGGGGGCTTAAGATGGCACGCAGGCGATTGCCGTGTGCGTGTGCTCCCGATATAGAATAGGTCACCTCTTTCTTCCCCGTGGGTGTCTAAATGACTAAGAGAGGGCGAGGGATTGGCAGCAGCGTCCCTCTTAAAACATCTCTAAAGCCTAACTGCTTACCAATTATTTACCAATCTGCCTTCCAAGCGTGGGAATTACTGACAAAACATTCCAATGGAGAGGTTTATGTCCAGTAGTGGACAGTTAAAGGCTGATATGGTTATAACTCACGATAGCTATTATTCAACCTAAAATTTTGTTAAAAGTTCGTATCCTTCATGAGACAGTTACGGGCCCGAAGTTTCTAAGATCGTGTCAAAAGAATTGTCACATGTTTTGTGCAGAGGTCAAGTAAAGCTTCACAAAAGTGGTATGAATAAGTCGAAGATATTTTTATTGTGGTGTCGTAAAATGAAATAATTGTGTTCGACTTTCGTACAAACACAATATGATGTATATAGTTACATATAGTTATTATCGCCTCTGATACAGTAGCATATTTTTATGGGCAAATTTATTTGTTCAATTTAAGTACGTTACTACCGTAAATTGCGTAAGTTTTCGGCATTATTTTTTAAATGATTAAAGTACGTATAAAATTAAACCTGTTTAAATGTTCCTGAGTGAGTTTTTAAAAGTAAGATGACGCGATGATGATTGTATGATCTATTTCGTCTTTCTGGTTTCAGTATTTCCTTTTCCAAGTTTTACGTTTACGTTTCAAGTTACTAGGAATTCCTAGTACTATAAAAATCTGGAGTTTACTTCCTTATTATTCCGTATTAATTTTGTCACATCGCGATTCAAGATGCCGTTTTGTTTTTGCGGAGCAAAATCCTAATTGTTATGTATACATATACCTAATATTTTTAAGTTATTCTTAAAATATGTTTTTCCTACGCACTAGTTTACGTTACGAAACATTAGATTTTTATATTCACCTTAATTAACATATAAGATAAAATTGACCTACCTTGTGCGTATTCGACAACATTGACGCCCCCGCGTTTCCTTTGACCTTACATAAATGATTCAATCATTTTACGATTCTATTTTTGAATTGCATGAAATTGGAGGGAAATATTCTATTTAAATTAATACCAACATTCTCAGTGAAGGCCAAAGAATTAATCCTGAACAGCCAGAGGTCAAATGGTACCGTCTATGTTCGGTAACGATTTAAATTTTTAACAGTCACCGAAAGATCGAGTTGAGTATTTTTTTTTAATTACCCCGCAGAACTCAGACGTTGTTTCAAGATCGCTGAAATTTCACTGCGCCTTCATTAATCACATTTAACAACGAAGCTCATTAAAGGTACATTTGTAATTGTCAATTTCGGCACTGTTTCTGACTGAGGATATTAAAATGATGCTGTCACTGTCAATCTTGTTACTGGTACATAAGGGTTATATTCGAGTGACCCGCAGTGGCACCGGTGTTGGTGTCACGATGCAAGCCAAGGAGTAGAGTTGCTAATTACAGTGCTATCATCAATCATTTATATGAATGGAAGGGTGCAAGTACAAGGTAGACTCGGAATATACTTGATCTGATAAATTTGGCTAAACTAAACTCTAATGCAATAAGACTTTTGAGTTCAGAATTGTTTGCTGTATGAGTAGTCTTTCAGCACATTAATTGTGATACTGATCTTCCTTCAGATTTTTTGTTAATATTCGCGATTTTATCCAATTTTTATATTAATTTCAAAAATCCTATAATGATATTCGAAAGTTTTAATGGTATTTACGAAAACTTTCGTACATCAGAAGGTACAAAGACTGTACAAAAGCCGTTTGCATGGGTAACTCTGTCTCATTTTAATTTTTGCAACCCATTTGTTCCATAGCTGCATTTTGGTTTGAAGATTGGAGTAGGGCAGGGAAATTTCGTACCACGTAATTTAACTGCTATATCCCAACCTTAGTATAACTACTATGTCCTTAGGAATAGGTAATATTCAACGCACGAGAAAAGATATCCTTGGTACCGTTCATGTTTGTTTCAATCAGGCCTCCGTAATCTTGTTTCTCATTCTTAAAACGTCTTGCAATTTTTTTTCCGGATAAGTTTTATGATCTTAAGAAACTTAATTTCCCACCAAGGTCACAAAAATGGGTCATAAATCCTCAGATAAATAATCATGCTTCTATTCAAAATAAAACATACGAGTCGAATGTGTAACTTTATTTTTTTAAAGACTTTTTTTTTTTAAATGAAGAGCAAGTTGTAAGAATATGATGAGAGTGAAATAATCATAAGATCAATATCAATAGAGGACGTCACATGTCACTGTATCGGTTATTTTGATAAACTTTCAGTCTGACGTTACGTCGGCATTGATTGAAGGCTCGTTGACCTCATCCCGAACTTTACCGGCGCACTAAAGGTTGCGACGATCCGATGACCTTGTTGTGTTTTAAATTAAAAAGAAATGGGCACTTCAAGAAGGGTTACTATCAGGCTTATTCGTTTGAACATTTTATAGTATTTAAAAAAAAAAAAGACTTTAACAAACCATTTAGAAATTGGTACCGTTATATGTTTTTGGTAATCTTTAATTTTACCGACTGTATTTGATCTACAGTTGTTAAAAATATCGCCTATAAAACGGGCATTGTAAACCTCTATCGGTTCGATGTTAGTTAAAAAAACAAATTTATTGTTATATATAGAACTTTCAAATCTCAAAAGAATATGATGGTATAATGAATAAACTAAATAGTAATTATCACGAAGAATAATTTTCCCCTACTAAACTGTAAAGTTTCAAATTGAAAACGCAAAGCGGTGTACGCATGGGACGGTTACCACGTAACTGATAAATGGGCGAATTGTACTGCGACCACAAACCTATTACATAATGGAAAAGCAAATTTAACTGTGGTCAATACAGCTTCACGATGAAACCTCAGAGGCCGAAACAAAATGAGGTTTTATTGCGTACAATGTAAGGGTTACGATGTATTAATTTAGGGGCAACTAGTTTACTCGAGTTTTGTCAATTGTGCACGACAAATTGTCGAGGTTCAATTTGTTGGTATTAAAGCTTTAATTTGTTAGCATTGAAGTTGAGATTGGAATGTGTCGCTGGATCTGATAACGTGGTGCGCTGCTAGTGTGGGTGGTTGGGCGCCGGTCGGTGGGTGTGATAATTCGTCTTGCACACACAGAGAGTACCGTGAGAGCGTGATATTGCTCCCGAAATGTGTGGTTTGCTTACGTATTAGTAGCGTGGGAGAGGTGAAAGGTCGAAACTTTTTGGATGCCGATATTATCCTAAAGTTTCACTTTGATGTCACCAACCGAACTGGACTACCACTGGTAATTTAGCATCCAGTGTCAACTATTGTCGTGCCACCTTAACAAAATGTTTGATCACAAATTTTACATAAAATTTGTGATCAATTCATGATACGTGAAAGTAGATGCTCTTGAGTTTATGTAAATACGAGACAAATGTTCACAAACAACATATATTCGACGCATTGATTCGACATTGTATTTTTTTTATTGATGCACGATAAACATGTTGTTTACTATTTCATTTGCTTAATGTAGTTAACATGATATTACTTTTAAGCTATTAATAAAATTTGAACACGATTTTGAAAAAGTCGACTATTTGGATTATTTTGACTATGCTCCTGAAAAAAAGAGTACAGAAAATATAACAAAAAGGTCTCATGAATTAAACTGAGTGAGGGATTAATAGCTAATTGGAATCTAAGCTAATTGGGTGGAACGTCTAACTGCGGTCTTGACATTCCAAGATTGAATTCCAATTGGCATACCTTCCTGCATTCATATTTGGATTAATTAAATATTATCACTTGCTCTATGTTCCTGAGGGCACGTAAAGCTGTCGTCTGGCAAAATTGTCTACGTACGTGATTACATTTTTGGTATATGATTGGTACCATTCTTAATATTATAAATGTGAAAGTGAATTTATTTGTTTGTTATCTTATAACGTCCTAACAGCTTAAATAATCACTATGAAATGGGGGAAAGGGACTATTAAGTTTTTTTTTTGTAATATAGATAGGTAGTCCCATTGCTGCTAATACTAATACCCTATTAGGTCGACCGCCACGTGGTTCCTCCTGGATACCATCGTGGTTAATTGTTAAATTTGTCACGATGGGCCATCTTACCTACATTTATCCTTATCTAGTTACTTGGCTTATCGTGATGAAGAGAGGTCGAGTTGATAAAGTATATTTTAGATTCCTGTTACTAACAATCCCTTTCCCCCGATTTATACTGATTGTTTCTACCAATCGTGTAGTAAATCGTATTGTTTATAAATAACTTAAGCTACGTCAGAGGCCACTTTGTGTACGAAGCTGGCTTCCAAACCCGGCGGTAAATTATTATCATTTGATAATTATCTTGAGTTTGGTTTGTGGGTCGTCATTTCTGTTTCATCATCAACGTCATCTCAAATGTATTTGTTACTGTACTAACAGATGAAATGTTTGTTTCCAGGCATACGAGCTATCAACGTTGACGGGTACACAAGTGATGCTACTAGTCGCGTCCGAGACCGGGCACGTTTACACTTTCGCGACGCGGAAACTCCAACCGATGATCACATCAGATGCTGGAAAACGGCTGATCCAAACGTGCCTGAACTCCCCTGATCCGCCGACCACCAGCGAGCAGCGGATGGCAGCCACCGGCTTCGAGGAAACCGAGCTGACCTATAACGTAGTTGACGACGATATGAAGGTGAGGCAATTGGCGTACGCAAGCTCTGCGCAGTACCCTATAGAACATCATTCAGGGTTGGCCCCTTCGCCGCTGCAGCAGTACCACCAACATCCGCCGTGTCCGTCGCCGCTTCCGTTGAGCTCGTTAGGGCAGCCCTATCCCCACGCCCATCTGTCTCATCCCCACATGTCCCATCACCCACAACGGTAGTCTGATGGCACTAGAGTAAATCTATATTTGGTATTTATTGGATATCGATCACTCCTCACGGTGAGGAGATTTCGACTGGATTATCGAAATAGTCACGTTCTAGGTTAGGTTAATTTTGATGCTTTTACTTGTAAACGTTGTTATTGGTTAAATTATATATTATTTTAAATGTACCCCTAAAGCTATTATATTATAACGGAACAATTAACCAAGACATTATGTTTAGCCAATCAATGCAAACCAACGGGACATAGTCATAGACAATCTGTTTTATATGCATTGAATTGCTGAACGAGATGTGTCGGTTACTTGTTGGGTTCAACTGTTCATGCAGTTGAAATTACCAGTACAATATTTACAAGTGAATGTTTAATTTAGATTATTAAGAAAAAGAATAATATACAATCAATAAACTATTTTGTTAATATATTTGTAAATATGACGAATAGAATAATTTCCGTGATCTGTGCGCCGTCTGGCGAGGGTTCGAGCGGCGAAGCGTTTTCCGAGAATCTGTATTTTTGTAATTTACACTGGGAGTCCACGAATTTCTCATCATCTCGGAAGCGAATGTTAAACATGAGTAACATGACAGATCGATTCGTATAGTGAGAGATACCGTTCAGTGTATAATGTAAGTGTAATAATTAATTTATATCTGTCAAAATTGTATGCTTCTGTATATGAAATATAATAAATACAGTGAGAGCAATAGCAAAAAATTATGTAAATAAGTATAATAAAAACAACGTAAACTTTTTCATTACAAAACTTTAAATCGATTTAATCAAGATAGTTTAATAAATCATTCGAGTCAAAAATCTATCAATGAAATTGATGATCAGCATAGAGATGTCGAAATCGATTCAGTAGCGAAATAATCAGATTTAAAATCGGTTTATAATTAACGCGACTAACCGGTTTTACGGTTTGGGCTGACGCTGACGCAGACGCCTCGGAAGTAGGAGCGGTTGGTATCTATTCATTCATTATGATCAATGAATCGGCCTTTCATCTAGCGCTTCTGTAAAAAGATCGTGTACACACCAAACGAGGTGCTTAATAACATCGATTATCCTTGAAATTGAAGGAAGTCGACGATATTACATTCATCTAATAGTGAATAGTTACTTTTACTTCATTCATGTGTTCATATTTAAAGCAATTATATACGAGTCTTGTTATAAATGAGATACTCTAAAATTAGCAGTTAATACAATGTTAGACCTGTTGTTTTGTTATCAAAGCTATTCGTTTCGAATGTAGAACAGGTATAAATAACATACTGAGAAAATAACCAATGTCAAAGGTTTCGCAAGGTAGTTTGCCAGTGAGAGTAGTTACAGTTTCTAATTAAGAGGGGCAGTGCGCTGTCGCCTCAGGTTCTAAGTCCTCAGCCGCGCCGCCTGATCCGGATTATCTAGAAACTTAATTGAAAATTACTTTCGGTGGTACCGTTGGTGATTATTATAAATTCCCCTGTCAAGCTCGGCGCCCGCTAGCATGGTGCTAGGGAAATCAATCGGTGTAACGCGGGAGCTTTCACATCGAACCTCATAAACAAACTACTGATTCCACTCCGTGTAATTTACATTTCTAAATCCAATTTAGAACTCTATCACCTCTAATTCGGTCCGAATAGACGTGTTCACGCGAGCAGTTAATCAATGAAACGTACAACTGAAATGTACTCCAAATACGGACCGTGCGCCGAGTCGACTCATTGAGACGCTCAGATTCGATTCATCCATTAAACGCTGAACGCACCTTGCGTCGCTAATCGGACACTATTTATTCATCGATTTGTACCCAGTAGCTGCTCCCGTTGCCGTCGCATCGATTGCCTCGAACGATTAATTCTTACTTCTCATTTGCATATTGTTTTAATTTCGAACCCATCCGGCGCCCACTGCGACTTCGCCCCCGACCTCGAATATCTTGTCAGCTCTGATATGTTGAAATCGATTGCATCGATTCTTTCGTTTCGCGTTTGTTTCGATAAAAATCTCTCTCTCTCTCCCCTTCAGGTGGTATGTTCTCAACCGTACACGCTTTACGTACAGAAATAATACGTCCGCACCGATATCGATCATTATTGTTCACGCATCATCGATAACACGATCTGATTGAAATATTCTCGCTGTAATTATAATTCTGAATGATAAGTGCGTCCCGTGATCACTTCTTAGATTATTATCGTATCTGTTTTGTGTTCTATTCAATGTGCATCTTCTCGCGGCTTTATCGCTCAAGTTAGAGTTACAGCTATGTGCATGTTTTATAAAGTTTTAGATTCAAAGGCGGCATATTTCGCTTTTTCTCTAGGAACGGTTTCACCTGTCATCACTATAAAGTCGTTTACATAAATATAATTCTTTACGTATTCTCAGTGTGTAACAAATGCCGACTGGCGCGTCTGTTCCGTGAATATAAACGGTATTACCCGTAACCCTGTTCTGCGACTGATGTTTGGCGTAATACCGCTCGTAGGATGCAGATGCTCTTGTGCATGAATTAGCCGTATAAATGTGGAAGTCGGTCAGTGCCCTCGCTTCTCCCGTATCCCTAATCGAGTTCACGTTTCGTAATTGTACAACTCTTGAGATTTCGCTTTCAATGTAGACAATTTCTATGAATTCTAATGCGAAATCTTCAGTATCGTTTTAGAGTATATTTAGTCGTTCTTTATAAAAAAACCTGGAGTCTTGCAAGTAACCATTGCCACCACTAGAAGTTAACGCGAGTCGTAAATTCTTGATCTTTTTTAGACGTCGACAATCAAGCTTTGGCCCGCCTTTCCAATAGTGGCTCGGTGACTCACGCGCGGCCAATAACGTATTCTGTTCGCATGGGACGCGCGTCTATTCTCGACGTTGCTCAGTAATCGCTCGTTAGTCTCGCACCTAGCTTTATTAACTTATCAATACTATTGTTTTGATAAACGCCCAAGACGCAATTTCTGTTGACTCATCGTATTGTGCTAGCTAATATGCCCACATAATTGTCTGCCTGTAAGCCGATTGGTTGTCTTGTGCAAGCCTGACGGGCTCCAACAATAAAGCTAATTTGACTAATAGGTGCGTTGTAATCGTCACCGCGTGTGGTTTTAGGATTACAAGACTATCGAGCCGACTTTCTTCTGCGTGTCTAAGTTCAGCAACTAATGAACGTTTTTCTAAAGCTATTGTTCTATATAGTATATTAGGTGTATCCCGCGGCTTCGCCCGTATGAATATAAAGTATCCAGCGTGTTCTAAGTTAAGATATAACTTATATGATTACAATTTTAATTCGATAATGTTTAGTAGTTTTTGCGTGAAATTTATTTTTCAAATGTTATTCATTCTTAAAAACACGAATAGTTGTAGGATTTGTTTCCTTTGTTATATCGTTATTTTGACAAAAAAAAAATTTTGATCTCCGATTTATCTAGCTAAGAAGTTAACTTTTAAGTGGATTGTGCAAGATGCGCTTAAATTGTCGACACGATGTTGTGGCTGGTGCGACCATTAATTTATTATTCCGCGCGTGAACGCACCGCCGGTTCAATTTTTTTGTAAATTGTTTAATGTTTGCGAAATTCACATTAAATGATCGGTCCTCCCCTGTAATTAACGTCGCACCGACGACCACCCGGACGCAAGATCGATGGACCTACCGTTAATCCAACATAAGGGCAATATTCGCAAACCGCCTTTGTCGTGTCCACACCGACTGGACAAATGAAGAGATTCCACCGCTGTCCTCCAAACAGTATTCTCAATTTGGTGAAATTTCCACAAGAGCAATGACCGTCACAAATTCGATTCGCGCCGTCATTCAAGTAATGGATCAGCCTACTAATTGAAAACGTGTAAAGTATGCCAATCTGTTCTGTGGAATCTCGCTAAAAAATGACATTCTGCAAATAATTGTAATCAACCGCCATTAAAGAAATTAGACTGCGGCGTTTATAGTAAACACGCGGCGATGTAGACTCTTATCTGCGCATTATTTTAGGAGTTGCGTCCAGTGACAGCGAGCACTCTGTGCACTATTACGGCAAGCCTGCGCCCGCGCCGTTCTGTTGCATAATTCAGACACGAGCCCCGCCGTTTGCATTCCGATACTTGATATGTGCTTTCACATGTATTTATGGACAAGATTTTGTGTCTCCGTAATGTTTACCGAATAAATAAATTGTGTTTAAGGCATAAATACAATGGGCGAGCTGGCGGCTCCCCTCGTTACGTCGGCGAATGTAAAGTCAGAGTTAGCTTCTTGGGTTGTCGGCATGTCAACCGTTGAGATATTTCGCGGGATTCGACTTGATGCGCTCGCTTATTTCGTTGTTTAGGGGCTTCGTTACATTCACGGTTTATGTCGTCGCTTACAAATTGGCGTACAAAGATGCATCGCAGCACCAGCTGACGGCACAACTCGCGACTCCACGGAAATTAATGTGACGCCGTTTACATTGTATATCATTCTCGTCCGTCACGTGGCACGTTTACATCTATCTCTTTGTTTATCTATGCAGGCTGTTTATCTGTTTAAAACACGACCCTGATAGGCGACAATGAACAAGCTAGCTAATCGAAAACCTCAACGTTATTATCTTAGTCTGTGATCGTTACAGAATTCTACACACATTTCCTTTACCGCAATTCTAATCATTTGTACTGGAGGTCCTCTTTTGTATGCGCAGGGCAAAAAACTTTTGTATGCATTGCACGAGACCACTATCCCGGTCCATCTCCAGAAACTTCTGCGAATGACCGTCCCGATTGCTCTAATTGAAATTTATTCGCGGCTCCCATCGACGCGTC